CGATGCATGTCTAGAACCAGAGCTGTAATTACTGTGTTTGCTATGCTTACACCATTGTCTGACAAAATATTTTGCCAAACATTTTCCTTCTTTTGTCCTTTGTGCTGCCTTACTCTGGGTAAAATAACATTAGTCAGATTCATATCCAACCCAGGTGAAATCCTCCAAAGGGGAGGGGGGGTGTCGAAATTATTTCATTGTGCTGGGATTTCATTATATTAAATATTGAGAATCTGGTACTTGTAAATCTTTTGGTGTTCGGTTGAAAGGGTATTATGCACTTTAATTTACAAAGTATTAAGGAATCATTGCTGAATGGGTGAATTGCTTTTGTTGGAATTACAGCTGAGTTTTGCAAACTGTGTCATGCTAAGCTCCAAAAAAGTGAAAGTAGCTTGAATGGTCAAAAATGTTTAGGAAATACAATGTGTATTAGAGTATTAAAGGCTCTGAGAAGTCATGTATTTTTTAAAAATTTGTTTAACTTTTAAAACCCTAGCTTTCTCAAACTTCTCTCCCCACTCCAATTGTTTTCATGGAACATCTAATGTGGGATACCAAGTTTGAGAAATACAGATGCTGGATCAGGGTATTCATTCTTGCATTTATACAGAACCTGCCATGTGTTTGGAAGTGGGCCAGGCTGACAAAACGAAGACAAATAAGGCACAATATTTGTCTCGAAAAGGCTGGCAAGGGAGATGCAATGCGAATGATACTACAGAGTTGTTTTGTTTTGTTATTTCAATCACGGAAAAACAGGAGACAAAGCAACTGAGAAGGAAAGAAGGCAGGTTAGGACCATGCCTGGGAAACTTCCCTGATGATAAAGTCTCACTGGAAGAATATATTCATGCAAACATCAGGTGCTAGATTTCTAAAATAGCCAGCAGGGGAAAAGAGACCCTCTCATACATCCTCTTTTAAAACCATTTAAGATATATCCTAGCAACATAAATGCCTCCTACCTCTGGATATTGTGTCTGTCCACATGTCTCCTTTAAGAGAGCCAGCTCTCATTTCAGATACTTTCATGGAGAGTGAGTAGTGGCTATATAGATAATTTGTATTTTTTTTTTATCATTTAATACACATACACACCAACAGTTTGTGTCTCAATTGGACATCTGCTTAGATCCTAGCTCTCTTCTTATAGCTGGACAGGGATTTAAGGAATGTGCCAGGGTTCCCTGGCTGTGAACTTGTTCTTTCTTGTACCTAACATGCATACTTGCATGGCCTTTATTAACTAGTCATTCATTGGATCAGGAGTGGGAATGGATTGGAATCCTTGATGTGGTTCCAAACATTACTGACTTTTTCAGCATTGAAACCAACAGCCAGAGACATCTGAAGGTCTTTGATGTGTTCCATACAGCACCTAAACACATTAGGTGCACAGCAGCACCATTATAGAGGACTGGAGAGGAAATGGAAGTGGTATCTTCTTCCTCTTCCTCTTCTTCCTCATCCTTTTTTCTTCTTCTCCTTCTTCTCCTCTCCTCCTCCTTCTCTTCCCCATCTTCTTTTTCTTCTTCATTTTCTTCTCTTCCTCTCTCCCCCTGCCCTCCATTCTGACACTCAATTCATGTACATTATTTTTTAATTTTTAAAATGACCATATGAAGTGGGTATTACAGTATTTTTGCCATTTTTACTGGTATGCAAACTGAGGAATAAACATGTTGGGGATTTATCCAAGGTAAGAGGCAGAGTGAGGAAGAAAACAGGAGATTCACTTCATTCCAAAGCCTAAATACATTCACTGCTCCCACTACAAAGCCAGAATACAGGAACGACTAATACATATTTTGTGCCACTCTAAAATAATTCTAATTTAGTGTGCTAACATGACAAGAATTCTTTAGACAGGATTTACTATCACTTTCTTTTCCTGATGGAAGTAGCTTACCATTACCTTCTTCAAAATGGGTCAAATGGAGTCCATCATTTCTTTGCTTTTCTCTCTTTCTCTAGTAAATACATTCCTTGAAGGAATTAGTACAATTCTTTTTGAGAAAGATACCACCAGGGTGTTTGGTAAGAGAGAGTAAATTTATCTTTTCCCTTAGGATAAGACCAACAATGATGTGAGTTTTGTATTAAATAGCTCTCGATCTGCTTCTGTGGTACTTAACATTTTGGTGTGTCTATAAGTTCTGAGGTGGATTACAAGTAATGTATGTGAATAATTTATCTCTTTAAATTAGAGCAAATTTAAGATTATCTCTATCAAAACATTGCTTCCACTTGCTCTCAAGAGAGGAGCAAGAGATGGAATCCAAGCTAGCAAGTACCGAGGATTACACTATTACAATCTAATAACTGATACCAAGCCTATGTAGATATACCTATATTATCTGTGTGAACTGCTGCTCGCCCTTATAGGTAACACTGCCATCCTTTGATTCTTCAAAGTATGGATGAGTCAAAGATGAACAAGGCCACTGATCAGAAAGATAGATTTATTTCTGAGCTAGAGATTAACTTTGTATATGTTACCAGCTCATGAATCTTTTTTAGCAGCTGGTGTTATTGATTACATTTTTAATTAAGAAAAGTTTTGTGAAAGTTACTAAAATGGGGGTTGAATGGACAAAGTTGAAAATTTATGGAAATTGATTTAGCATTTAATAAATGTATGCATACCTAATGGCAATTGTACAATCCAAAAATATATCATTTCATGTTTAAATGAATGAAAACCATGGCTTTCTATAAATGTTCTTATAAAAAATCATGTAAGGAACAAAATTAGATATGGCTGATTTTTTCATACCCAGTTTATTTCAGAAATATCAATATTTCCTTCACTATTTCTACTTTATGAAAATTGGATGAAATAAAATGTGTTTTTCACTAATCGTTTAAAGAAAATAGCACTACTATGAAAAATAACATTCCAAACTCAGCATGGAATAAAAGATATAATATCATATACATTTTCAGCTTGTTCCTGTTTCAACTACAATATTTACTTTGACAAGCATGACATTGTTTTTTTTAGAAAACTCATTTCCCCCTTTCTACATGCACTAAATATGATTCCTTCCCATCTCTCTCTACATGTAGAACTCATACTCAGAAAATACCTGGCATGAGATTGCAGAACCAAAAAAAAAATAAGAAAACTAAAACGTTAAAGGTTGTGAAAGGACCAATAGGGAATCATAAATAATTTTTAAATTACTTCAATGTTTTAATTACCATTGTTATATTTTCTTATTTATTTCAGTTTTTATTCTTAAATTATGAAACACTTTAAAATATTATTAGTCATATATCCACCATCTAGTTTTAACAGATGTTAACATTTTGCATAGCTGTCTGTTCCAGTGTCTTTTTAGAAAGATTTTTTGCACTAAAAGAAAACATTAAAAATATTTGTCAATGTCATTAGAGAGGTGAATCACTTAAACTGAAATTATCTAACTTCCATATTAAATCTCATCAGAATTTTAAAGAATGACAGAAAGGCCTCTAAGAAATTCTTTTCCATGCCTCTTCAATGTTCAAAAATTATACCAATAATGATCACCAGGATTTGGATTTTCTTATTGGGGAAAAAACTTTCTAAATAAATTAACTAACAATGGAATAGAAGTACATATTGTAGACTTTCTGTTAATGATTTGTTTCATAATTACTGTAAATACTTATTTTTGAAAAAGGTATTTTAGTTATTCTACTCCCATTTGTCCTGTACTTCATTTAGTGGGGAAGTGGAGAGTGGGTGTTGTGTGAAATATATGTATATGTGTTGGTCTGTGTATTTAAACTTTAAATGAAAGAAAAATTCTATGCTTTCTCCTGAAAGTCCCTGATTGTCAGAGAAGTGTAAAGATGTAGGTAACAGGACAGCTTTAAGGTACAGCAATTATTAACAACTGAAATATTAAATAAACCTTCATAAGTCATATATTTAGAAATTATTTAGATGCTGGGAGAAATTTTGGTCTATTTTTAGGTACAGTTAGAAAGTAAATAGTAGTTCATCTTTCCCTTGCAAGTAAAGATAAAGAAGAAAATTCTCAAATTTCGGACAATGCTATCATTATTATGGAATAAAATGTGAACAGCGTTGTACGTGAAGTACATTGGGCCAGCCATTTTGATAGTTTAAGTTGAAGGCACTTATGTGATTTGCAGTGGGCCATTATGGCTGTTCTAACTGGATTTACTGTGATATGTGTATTTGTCTCAGGGCAAACAGCTTGTTTGCCTTGAATAAAAGTCTTAAAGATAATTCTCTATGAGTTTAAACTAGTTTTTGTTTGGGTTGATATTTACTATTTGAGGTAAATTATCCCTTCTTTGGCTCTTTTCATATTATGTTATATAATTTTGATTAAGCAATTGTATAATATTTTCTATAACTTATTCTGGGCTTCTGTATATAAGTTTAAAAATATATTCCACAAATTAAATGCTTATACTTGCTTATTTGATTGCTTTTCCTATTGGATTTTGGATAAAGTTGCCTTATGGAACTCACTTATAATGAAATTATTTTTTTCCTTTTACTTGTTATGTTTAAAACAGCTATTTAAGTTTGATGACGCTACTTTTTTCACTTCAAATAGTGCTTTCAAATTTGAGTTTTCTATGAATAGGTTTACTAACTATATGTATATATTTAAAAGCACCACTCTTTGTAACGTTCAGTCTTTTATGTCTTAAGTTACATTTTTCCTAATTTGCAAAATATTTGCTTTTTACTTTATGACTATAATATAAATAATATAATATAATATAAATAATAATATAATATAAATAATATAATTTTGAAAACTTATTTTTCAAAAGTATCAGGAATATTTTATTGGCAATAACTTTGTTAATTTTTGTTCTTTATATCTTGGTCAAAATGGCTTGAGATTTCTCAGTTCTTTGAGTTCATGAATTCAATTTTAAGCTGAAATGAGATGAGTTCTTTGAATACCATTAACCATTAAACACTACTGACTCAAAATATGTACTTAAATGTAAGAAACGACAAATGGTATATAAGCATATTTTATTCAACTGTATTTTATACAGAAAATTTTAAATTTTAATCTTTCATACAGTCCATGAGCTCGTGTTCATGCAAATGTGACATGCAATACATCGACTGCATTTGACTCCTACAGTTGGCTAAAGAAAGGAGCCTTTAGGAAGTACCAAATGAATAGGGAACATCCAATGACTGTTTAAAATTTTGATTATATTTTTTACATGGATATATTCCGCCATCAATAAAATACCCCCGTGAACCTTGCCTCGCTAACCACCACCATCACTTCCTTCCTCCGCTACATCGGAATTTTTCGTCATGACAGTTAGACTGACCTTTGCCAAAAACTACATTCACACACAGAAACATCATCGCATCCTCCCCCCCCCCCCCGCCCCCCCCCGGTCTCCACCTCGTACATCCAGGTGCAAGGAACCATGCCGCGCTTTCAAGAGGATATAAATAAGTGGGACAGCCCCAATTTCCAGCGAGGTCATCTGGTGCGATCATTCCGCCATGTACCACTCAGTATTTACTTGAAAACTTCAGAGATGAGCAATTTATAGCCTCTGACTTCAAAGAAATTAAACCTAAGTGGAAAGGATTAGGAAAGCGTAAATCTCTGTGCGTGTACACGATAGTACTGAATATGAATTCACACACTATAATAAAATAGCTAATGTGTTGCGAAATGGCCCATTGCATTTTACAAAGCGCTCTCCTGCAAAGGAAGGGCCAGTGGAGAGGTTCAGAACTCCCTGGCAGTCCAAAAAGGGGCGAAATCAAATATGGGCGCGGGTGGGCACCTGGAAAAATTTCATGGTGGAGACTGCATCTGAGATAGGCCTCGAAACACCTACCGGGTTGCAGATACAGGAGAGGCCACTCCAGATGGAAGGACACTCCCCCACCCCCACCCTTCTCTTGCTCGAATTCCAGTTACACCAGAGGGCCCCTGCTCCCAGCCACGTTTTTAGGAGACACCTACAAACGCAGGGGTCCGACACAGGAGACACTTCCGCTGTACAGTTTGCTAAATTTGGACTCGGAGAGTGCACCAGAGAGATCGGCTCACGCAGGTGGGCACTCTCTCGGTTTCCTAGCTCTGACTCTGCAAGACGCTCCCACCCGTAAAAGGCTACCGCGGCCACAGGGACTGGCTGTCGTGGCTGCTGCTTCTCCCACCAAATTCCGGCGCTCTGGAGCGGCGGGCGCTGCAGTAGAGAGACCTGGGTTCCTTCTGGGCCCGAGGGAGGAAGCACACAGCACCGCGGATCGCGCTACGGGACCCGGGAGACTCTTTTCTTCTCCTCCTGCCGGCGGCGGCGGCGGCGGCGGCGGCGGCGGCTAG